TGTGTGCCCTTGTGCGGACAGGGGATGTGCCCCCCCCCTCTCTGAAGCTGGAATTCTTGTTTTTCCAAAATAAATCGATGCAATTTGCTATTATAGGCCTAATCAATAAATTCCTCATCAACCGATATAAACTTAAACATTCTTGGAATTGACATAACATACTGATGTTGTACACGCCCTTGAGTGTGAAATGTGGCTCTCTTTGCAAGCACATCTAACATCTAAGGAAAGAAGAGCTTAGATTGGTACCAGATAAAATAATTTTGTTATCAACATTAATACATTATGCTAATTTTCATCTTTGTAAGCGCATGACAGTGCAAATTATTTCTGTGACAGTCTTTTGAAGTGTGTAAAACTCCATTTTATCCCATACATAGTCAAAATATTTGGGGGATGATACAATGGACCATCCCCTTGTCAAATATTGGGGGTTATAACCCCCCACCCGGGGATCTACGCCTATCTGCCTGTCTGTTTTTATATTCCTTTTTTAAAATGGCAGTGACGAAAAGGAAGTGGACAGGGGGATCGTCCAGTGATGGTGCCAGGACTTGCCCGACGGAGGGGCTAAAGGCCTCGACCGGGTGGAGAGGGGGATTGTGGAGCGAATCGAGTTTCACTTGGCTGGGGGAGGGGGGCCGTCTAGGGCCCCGGTGGGAGTCCAGGGGACGATTCATGACGAATTTTTATTAATTATTTAATAGGCATCGAGCTACTATAAAATAGGATTTCATGTATAGGCTATGTTTTCTAATGTCGAAATCAGCTTCCAAAACCATAATACAGTATTTTGAATAAAACAAGAAACAAAGAGTATGCAATGTAACCATCTAATTTATTTTCAAATCCTCATCCTTGAAAGTAAAATTCTATATTTTGGAAATTTTGCATGAAATCTGTCAACCACGCTGTCAAGGTCGAGGTTGCTTCCCTTATCGCGATGTATTTCAAGCATCATGAGGCTATCCAAACGAGCATTTTTTCATAGCAGAACGTAAATTATTTTTAATTAGTCTCATTGAACTATTATTATTAATAATAATTATTATTATTATTGTGATGAAAAGTTAACACAAATAGTTGAATACAAGTAAATAATTTTAGTTATCTGGCCGAGTTTGGGCAAGTTTGATTATTCGTCAGAACAGACAATTCACAAATTGTATACAAAAAAAAAAAAAAGAAAGAAAGAAATAATATCTGATATCCATTTTGGCACTGCATGGGGTTGGGGGATAGAGGTGCTAGTTTTCCCAGTAACTCATTCAAAACTGGATTTATCATTTGACTAAACTTAATTTTAACTTACTAAATTTGGTATTTGTTACGGTATATTTGTTGAATCCATCGGAGTGATGCATACTGATCAAATTATGCAAGAGATGGATATCTACATGCATTTGAACACCAGTTTGTTATGAAATTAACAATTTGGATGTGATGCGCCAACCGAGTCGTTGATACTTAATTTTGAATACTGTATAATTGTGTTTCTCAATTTTGCTAAATAATTTTGAAAAATTTACGGAAGCATGGGCCTGCTGGTCTCCTTTATTGCTCTACTGACTTTTTCTCCATTGGGGTAGAGGAATCACCAAAAGCTCCGCTTTACAGGTGCCCTATTTTGAATTTAAAGAATGAAAATTCAAGGACTGGTTTTTAGAATATTCTCTGTACAGTATAACCACATCTATTCTGCGATATTTTAGCATGTTTTTCACAAGCAAAGCAAATTTCATAGTTCGATCGATTACAATATGTAAAGTACTCTTGCTTCTTAGTAGAGCCTCAGTCTATAGTAAATAAGGATTACGGGTTGCTTATTTTAAAAGCAGCAACTGATATTAAAGCGACATCTCAAGTTAAGATTCAATGTATTTTTATTACCCAAGTTCAGTGGTATAAGCCCACAAAAAATAAGTATTTTAAAGCAAAATCAATCTAAAACAATAAGTACAGTAAAACAATAAGATATAAGACAATGTAATTAATGAATTAAAGCTTTTTAATGGGATTGTCAAATACTGCCTTAAACTTGCAAGCTTAATAATCAGTCACAGTACAGTACAGTATTATATAATATAATAAGGCATGCAAAAATCACAAGCAACAATTTCCACTGGGAAATATTATTTATTCCCGGCACAAAACGAGAATGCTCTGAAATTGAAATGTTTACATATTATTTCACTTGCTGTGAAATCATTTTTATCTTCCTTATAACTACAATGGTAATGTTATATATTCCGAATTAGATTTTTGAGTAGCAGTTCATCTAAATTTTTCTTTATCGATCCAATATTTGTGCATCCAAGATCATGGCAAGAATCATCTGTAAAATACAATTGACAATTTTATATGTCAATCAAAAGTATAAATCATATGCATGTACATTTTAATAATTTTAATACATTTTTAAATCATTAATTACCAATTATCAGGTTTTCATGTTAGTGTTAACAACCATACATGATGATCCTCTTTGGAAGTACACAGCAAGATGTCACACAGCCTATTTAAGAAATATTTGTGTGTCAATGATATAAATTAGTGGAATAATGGCATCAGAAACATCTTTTTCTTCAATAAATTTCAGTGAGAGAGTTCAATGTTCTCATCAAATGCCTTCGGAGTATTCCAACTAAAAACATTTATATATTTAGTATATGGCACATTCTTGCACACAATAACTTCTACGTAAAATTTAAAACAATTTCTTACCATTTTGATGTACCAGTTTTCCTTCATGTGCCTATTTCAATAAAATATAAATATAAATTTAAACTACTGAAAATCAGTAAAAAATCTCAATACACAACTTACCATCTAAAACAACAAAGGAGGGCAATACACTGGCACGACATGACCTCAGGTAGAACGGATGTTTGCTATCATTGAAGTACTCTTTTGATGGCAGAATTAGGTTTGCATCATAGGTCATGTCGCCAGTTCTCTTTCCCAATTACACATTGTTCAAATATTTTATTCAAATGGGCCACTGATCACCAATTAGCAAAAAATAATCACCATAACCCTACCAAAAAGTTCAGTTAAATTCTTAACCTACAACAATTTCTTTGCTTCCCTAACTACAACTGTCACTCTCGCCCGCAAATGTGCAGTCCTATGTCCAAGCACATGAGCTCGGCACAAACTGCGTTAAAAGCCGAGGCAATTACATTAGACCCCTATTTAACTAAATACTGTAGATGTTTTTTTCCCCAATTTTCCAAAACTATGTTTAATCACATCCTTAACCAGATGTACTCTTTATTCAAGCTTAAATTATAAATATCTGTAATACCTACCAGTTTTGAAGCAGTGCATCTGTTCTTTTCAATGCGTCTAAAAAAACAAACCAGAGCCTTGCAGGCGTCAACGTTCCTATGCATGATACACGACTTTTAGAAGTATATATAC